CCTTTATTTACCAGAGATAAGGTTTATGGGAAGCTGGGGGCTTCTTCTTGCCTGCCAGCACACTGGGAATGACAGCGATACCTGCCTCCCAGGGCTGCTGTGACAATTCCATTAGTTATTCCACCTGTAGCACTAAGGAGAGCCCAGACATGGTGCCATACCAGTGTGGAACTGCTGCTACAGTCTCTGATCAAGAGCCCTGGTAAGGTGGCCCAGCCAGCAGTGCTTCCCCAAACAGAGAGCTTCCGGCCTCCTGTGTGGACTCCCAGCTCCTGCTTTGCAATGCAGTAAGGAAATTCCCTCCCTCCCTCCCTGATTCTGCCACAAATATTGCTGGTCCCTGGGGCCACAGATCAAACAATTCCTGTCTATGCTATCACCAGTCCCTAGGGGCCTAGTCTGAAGCCAATCATTCTGCGGACCCCCAGTAGGGAATCCATGAACATACACAGAGGGTCCCAGCTACCCCTCACCAAGGGCAGCTAGCCAGAGGTACAGGAGGAGGATGCTTTTTACAAAGTGGATGGAACAGATTACACTGGGACGAAATTCTGGGTCCACTGAAGGCCTGATGCTATTGCTTACACCCTCCCAATTACTGACCTTAATGCCACTGGAGTAGCCCAGGCCCTGAAGCCTGTCTGCAAAGAGAAGAGCAAGTCATTTGGCAAGGGCCCAACATAGGAGGTGGCTTTGTAATATGAGCAGTGTGTCCGCTAACAACTAGAGCAAGACCATTAAGTTCATTACACCTGTCACTCTGCCAGCTGACTATCCAAATTGCCTGAGATGAAAGTACATTATGCCCACGGAGTGCCACCCAGCCCCCTCCCGGGGCAAGCACACACACTTATCGCAGACAATTTGTTCTCAGTGTCCACACCTGCAGAAAGAAGAACGTCAGCTTGAAACTTGGCTTTGAGAAACCTTAGATCCTGAGCAGCTAACAACAAAGTTTAGTTTCACCTTCTCTGGGAGGAAGGTAATAGGCCCCTGGTGAGGTGGAGGGAAAAAACTAGGGGGGCAAGGGACAGGACAAGGGGATAATCCCACCCAGACAAGCGAAGGACACAGAACCCTACATGGATTCTGCTGCCCTGCAGCGCAGCCAAAAATAAAAATGAGAGACACACCCTTTTCATTTCCGAACCAAGTCACAGCACTCTAGGCAGCAGGCAGAAGCCTTCCATGCAGCTGCACGTCCCACAGGCTCCCTGGGTGCACAGCCCCCGCCACTAAACAGGCTGCAGAGTGCGTTTGCAGTGCAAGCGTGTTGCAGACAGCGGTAATTTATTTATCCCTGTCATGTAACATTAGCAATCTGTCTGAATCTTGGCAAGCACCAACTTGCACTGTCATATAAACTGTCTGACAAATTTAAAGTTTCGTAAATGCTTCTCTTTTCCAGCAGACAATAAAGCATCACACACAAAAAAAAGTTGTCATCTCCTTTTCTGTTCCTTATTTCTTTCTCTCCTCCAGAAAAAAAAAAAGTAGAAAAAGAAAAAAAACCAACAACAAAAGAACCCATGCAAAGGAAATGATCCCTCAGCAGGATTCTTAACCTTGAAAATCTCAACATTTTTCCAATGCCAAGTAAATGAGTAAATAAATAGATGAGGGAGGGGTGCAGTGTGGTGGGGATCAGCAGAGAGGGGAGCACTGAGCAAAATCTGCAAAACAAAAGTACAGTCATTAAAAATTAATAAAGGGTGTGGACATCAGCTCCCCACCCCCTTCTGCTCATGGGGATTTGAGCCAGACACACTGCATCCTCATTAAGTGGTGTCTGGCAGGCTGCCGGAGTTTTAGTGGGTTCTGGGAATGCCAATATATTAACCAGAGGACTTTCTGCATACCCTTTAGAGTTTTTATTCTAGAAAAGTCAACCATTTGGCACAGTGCACCCTTATTTTTGTTCGGGAAAGCTCTCAGCTGCCAATCAAGGCAGAAATTATAGCTGTGTTCTTCGTAATTTCTAAGACCTCTCTGGAAAACAAGCTGGTGGAAAGAAAAGTCCTCATAAAACAGCTTAAAAGGCCAAAGTGCCATTTTTAGTGGGAATTCAAAGAAAAGCTATCTACATTTAAATAACATGGATATGAAACAAACATTTTTCAAGTCTTCCTATGATAGAGGAAAAAAGCGATTTTTAATTGGAAATAGGAACCAAATATTTCTACAGCAACTAATAGTAGAGCTACTTCTCCACTTCTTTTATTTGACTCACAAAGTAAATATGCCACAAAATGTATCTCCCTAAAAGTCAGCAGGTCTTGTGGCCTAAGTTTTCAAATGGTAGCCAGAAGCTTTACATTCCTATTTCAAAACTTAATATTCACTTTCCATGCACACCCTTAATATAGGTCAAGGTGTAATTCTAGACTAACAGATCCTGTGTATGCAGAAAGTAACTTTGACATCAGAAAACAATGGCTTCCAGGAGTTCTGAGACCTAAAAGAGGACAAAAAGAACAGAGGGAGGGAAGGAGGGAAGAAGGAGGGAAAAAGGAGGCCAGGTGATCCCGACTACAGAGAGATTTTGCCATTGTGCACATTTAATAGCTGGGAGTCTACATGAAATATGTACACATTTCTAAAAGTGTCCAAGTTAAAATGGAATGTTTCCTTTATATAGCTCTTGCTCACTGAGTTTTCATTCTTTCCTATTAGCTGATCCCCAAAAGGACAGACCTATCACAGAGACTCAAAAGCCTAGATGCAAAAGATGAGAAGCAACAAGATTGACCACCCAGGCATAGCTGCCAGTGTCTCCACACTGCTTGAGTTTTCAGAGTTACACAGAGCATCATCTCCTGCACAGACCATGAGGGAGTGCGAGGCACAGCCCCTGGGCCAGACAGAGAGATCCCCGTGTCTCTACTTGACAACCAGCCAAAAACTGCCCACAGGCAGCAAACCACCCTCCTTCCTCTGTGCCCTGGCAAGCTAAGAGTTCCCTTCAGCAATCCGATAAAATACAGACAGTGCCCCATGGGCTGCTCCCCAGGCTGCTACTGCAACCAACTTCAGCACATCCCAACTGTAAACACCTCTGCAGCCCATCCCTCAGTGCCCAGGGAAGGAAACTATTCTTAGAACACTTTCAGCATTTGGGGGAAATAAATATTTGTCTATGTATGTATATACTTTGGTCAGGAGCTGGAGGAGTGTTAAATCTTAAACTATGTACCAACAAATTGGAATAAAATTCTTTAATAAGCAAAAGCACTGAATGGGTTCTTCAGGGTCATGTAAACCGAGGCCCCCAGAGGATTCAAGAGGGAGCCCTAAATGCCTGTTAGTCTTCTCCATCATAAAAACAAACTTACATGAACCAGAACCAGAACCATGGTCAACATGATAGCAACAGCATAATGTTAAGAAAGTAGAGAGATCTTTTAAAGCAAGGGAGGAGGGTAGCTACAACTGCATTATAGCAAATCCCTTACTGGCATTTACAGTCTCAGCCCTAATTCCTAACTGTGCTCAATGTCAATAGCAAAGTGAAAGCTTAGGAGATTTAAGCTTTCAAAGACCATGAGAAATATATCCCACGTGTTTTAAAAAGCATTGCTCTGCAAGGGCAATCACAGGGCAGTTCAAGGGTTGAGAGGAAATCAAATATTATAATGCTATAAATGGACATAATATTCAGATCTACCCAGTTGCCTGTGTAGTGACTCGGATTTCACACTGCAACCCTTTACTGAACATACAGAATGATTCAAGAAAATGGCACCATACAAAGACCAACCCACAGGTGACAGTAAATACACCTAATGACCAGAGCAGACTAACTGCCCATATAGAAAATGCAGGACATACTTCATGCAGTAGCAGTTCTCAGTGTAAACTCCACAGAACCGGCCTTGTGATAATTCAACATGCAGTCCTGAAGTTCCAGGGGAGATACAAATGGGAAACTACAGCTCTTGGCTCTCCCAAAAAGTGGAAAGAGCCATTTTCAAGGGAGTTTCTTAATACTGCCTGAGGGAAGGCACCAGTCTCATGGCAATCCAGGAGCCACACATTAAGAGCCAAAGCTGCTATCCCCACACTACTATAAGAAATATCCTAACAGGAGCTCTCAGAACAACATCCTGTACAATTTATGTCATCTCACATACCATAACACCTAGCACATAGTAGGTGATCAATAAATATAACAACTGACCATAATTAACATTTAGGAAGCAACACTGTGCCAAAAATGAAGGGTCTTGGGTTGAGAAGATACCAAAATAATTTGAAAAAAGAGAAGAAAGAGGTGAATAAACGACACACAGGGGAAGAGATTGTTAAAAAAAAAAAAAAAGGCAAAATTATCCAATTCTAGTTCATTGTGAAACTCTGGGGAAAACAAAAATCAAGCCAGTTTTAAAGGCCAGCCGTAGCTATTCAGCAGCCATTCCTCTGTTGATAGGAGCGAGAAAGTACTGCTTGATCTGAGTAGCTTCTCTCTGTCCTGACCAGTGGGAGCGTTGCCCACCGACCCGCCAGTTCACCTGGGGCTGGTGCACATGCTCTAGGTGCCACCCACCCACCCCACGTCCCTGTCGTCCTCCTAAACGTAGGCCTCACCGGGAAGCCTCCGCCTTTTCCAATAAGAAAAAAAAAAAAGTTTAAAAACAGGCAAATGCCCTCTCTGCCACCAGCGCGGATGAACCCTAGCACAGCCCTTGGTCTCCCGTCTCCAGCAAGTCTGTTCACCCAGCGCGCCCACACCCCACCTTGGGGGCGCACGGGACAGGGGTCCCGCGGACGCCTGCTGAGCCGGATCGGGAAGGCTGGCCGACCACTGGCCGCGGGGCACTGAGTAGCGGGGTGCAGGCGGTAGGACTCCGAATGGGTACAGTCCGCCCCCGCCCCCTTTCCGCAGACGCCCAGGCGGGACCCTCACGGTCTTCTCACTCTCCACCGACCCCGAACCCCTGGCCTACAGTGCTCGCCGAGGGGCCCAGAACAACCGAGCTTGGTGGAAGCAGCACCCGACTCACCCGACTCCTGCGGTGCAGAATCAAGTCCTACGAGCACCGGACACCCGCGCCAGGGCGGCGAGAAACAGAAAACGGGGTGCGGCAGGCGATATTCCCTCAACCAGCATGGGTTGGGGTGCGGGGGCTCCTTGCACACACAGCTCCCGGAGACCGCCCCGAAATGCCCGCCACGGACACCAGCGACACCGCCTCGCCGACCCGGAACACCAGTCTCGGCGCCGGCTGCTACCCGCGGCCCCGCCGACAGCGCAGCCAGCGGACGCCCAGTCCGGAGGAGTCGCGTCCCCGCTCCCCCGCCCTCCCCCCTCGGCCCCGGCGCGGCGCAGAACCCAAGAC